GTCCGCACCGTTTAACCTGGCGGGCAAATACGGCGCTGGGATCCCCCACGGCTCCACCCCTCGGTGGGGGAGTTGCTATATAAGGCGGTGAGCCGGAGGGCTCGGGGTTCAGTGTTCAGCTTAAACCAGCGAAGAAAGAAGACCGGCTAGATAGGCCCTGGGACTCCCCTGGTTCGCCGTCCTTCTCAGGACCGACCAGGGCAAGCCAGTGGCGTGGCCCCGAGAGCCCAGAGCCGATGTTCTTCTAAGAGCCGGTCTAGGAACTCAGGGTGCCGTAATCCCAGCTTAACCAGAGCTGGGTCAGCTAGCCTCCCCTAGCCCTGTAGTGGAGGACCTAGGAGTAGGCTAGCCAGGACAGAGATTGTGGGATCTCCCTGTTCGACGGGTGAAGGGGCCGATACCCCTTCGAGTGTTGTATATCTCGGCCTGTAATATACAACTGTGGTCAATAAATAAGTGTGCCTCCGACTACGTCGTCCAAGTCTCCTTGAACCTACTACATATATGTACAAGCACCTGTTGATACACATGATAGAAAAGAACGAAAATGCCCAATACGTTAGCATGTGCAACAATAGTTACTTTCACACAAACACGTCCACGTCGCCGACGCCTACGTAGCACTTCGTGCCTTCTTTTAGCCCCTCCCTCTCCCGATACGTTCTACGCAGCACTTCGTGCCTTCTTTTAGCCCCGCCCCCCTCCCTCCCGATACGTTCCATTCATTGGCTACCACATTCTGATAAGCCCCCCCCTCTCCTCCCCCCCCAACTTGTATTTAAGGGCTTGCATCTTGGAATCTCTGCCTCACTTGATGCAGCTAATCTGGCTGTGTGACGGTCCCACCTGATGACGGAGACTTGTGTTGCCTCCGAAACGTCGTGATTTTATTTCTCCAATGTTATTGAAAAAATATATCATATATGAAAAATGTTGCGAGAATCTCTTACACACTAGTCATGGGTGAAATAAATGTATTTTTGTAGGATGGTATTGAGGGGAAAAGAGAGCCATGAAGTTCGCTATCCCAAGAATTTGGCAAGAACCCACTGACCACTCAAGTAACTGCTACTTCTGCATGGTGGACCCTTCCAAACGTAGGACTGGCAAGAATGCACCTATCACCTTCCTTCATCCATCACCCCGGCGCCACACTGCCATGAGCTCCCCGTACCCACTCCTCCGGAGAGAGAGCAGCCGTCTTTAGAAGAGAGCAGCAAGTCAGAGCGCAAGGAAGACATTGTAGATCCAGATGACAATTTCAGAGGTGGAGCTGAGGAGAGAAACCCAGACCTCAACGACTTGATCAGAGATCTTGGTCTCACCAAGTCCAATGCTAGGCTTTTGACGTCTAGGCTCAAGCAGTGGAACTTGTTGGATGAAAGTGTGCAAGTTGCAAGTAACTTTCGACCTTGCGATTGCCCAGGGGTAGTGGTGCCGGCGACGACGGCGGAGGTGACAGTGATGACGATGACGGCGGTGATGGCGTTGATGTCGAAGTGCGGAGGAGCTGCGATTCCGTCACCGGTAATCTGATGCCACCTGGCAGGGGATGAGAGAATCAGTTTCATTATTCAGTTTTCGTGTCTATTTAACTGTGGCATAATTATTTGTTGCCGCGTGTGATTTCAATGTCTGATATGCAACAAATATTGTGCCAAATGTAACCAAAATTGTGCTGTTCTGGTTATGCATTGGGTGGCGTGTAGAGACGTGAAGCATCCATTAGGAACTATATTTTCAGCGAGCAGTGCACATTTGTGACAGGGAACGACCCTCGGGATCGGACATGACAAAAATACTCCTGAGAATTTGTTATCCGATTGGTTGAGTAATCGAACCGGTAATTGGTAGGGAAATCAATCACTCAAATCACTCAAATAAAACATACAATAAGATATCGCAGCTCTAGCGGTGAGTGATGCAGGGTGTAGTGGTGGTGAGCGGTGCGGGGTGTGGTGGTGAGCGGTGCAGGGTGTAAGATGGTGAGCGGTGCAGGGTGTGGTGGTGGTGAGCAGTTCAGGGTGTGGTGGCGAGTTGTAGCGAGTTGTGACGTGTCTTGGTGGTGAGTTGCGGGGAATGGTGGTGAGTTGTGGGGAGTGGTGGCGAGTTGTGGTGAGTTGTGGCGAGTTGTGACGTGTCTTGGTGGTGAGTTGTGGGGAGTCGTGGTGAGTATGGCACCGCTCACCTCCCCGTGCGTGGGACGTCTCTCTGTGCCACGTCGCGCGTGCGAACCACACAGCGAGCAGCACCGCCCCGACGAACGGGAGGAGGAGCCGGAGTCATTGGAGGGATCCTAGGAGTGCGCGTGGGGGAGGGACATGGGGAAGAGAGCCAAGCAGAGCGGCTTAGGACAGACATTACGGACTCGACTCCCCAGCAACTTATACCCTGGGATTCATTTTCTAAATGCTGCTAGGCTGGCTTGCAAGTAGGCACTTGGCATTAGGCACTCCCACTAGAACACAAGGTATCCCTGGTCCGCAATAATCCTATATTATTGTGCCATGCAATCCTATCTTGGGTAGCGAAAACAACAGTCGTTGCCTTATGGACAGACCCCCCCCCCCTCCCACCATAGGAATGTGTAATTTCCACCGCTGGTTCTCAGCTGCAAACCAGAAATGAGTACCTCTGTAACTCTCATTTGAGCTGGAAATCACTTTGCCTTTAAAAAATAGATATGTGTATTATATTATTCCTACACGGGTTTACCGTGGAAAGCCTCACTATATCTTCCTTCCTTTGGAGGGCCCTGCCAAGTTTCCGCAGGAAGGGGGCGGTAATTGCTCTGAACAATGCCAATTGATTAACTCGACTGACATTGCTATGGAACCTACGAACAGGTTCCTGAGTGTAAGACGCTCGGGGGGGGGGGGGGGGGGCAGCGTTGATGGCAGTGGCTATCGTGAGTGAGAGGACACCAACAGGGCGACCTGAACACCGGAACCCTGTTCCGGCTAAAAGAATGATCACAGCTAACCCCGCGCGGCATCTCCCGTAACCTGTCAGGGGATTCAATCCCAAAATGTACTGATTACGAAGATAACGTGAAAGGAAACAAATCAATGGTCCCCGACAGAAGTCTTGGAAGGGGGAGTGGGGGAGTAAGTGACATGGTCCGAGTCATTGTGTGGCTGGCTAATGGCTTAGCAATTGCGGTAGAGACAACACGAGTGGCTTACAGGCGAATTGGTAGGGTTATAGATGAGGGCGATGGCGACGCACGCCTGTAATATGGCACCGTGGAGGCAGCAGCAGTGAGGGTTGGTGGGTCTCGCACAGATGGTGTCAAACTTCCTTCCCGTGGGCGTCGAGGAGGAACCCGTGCCCTGGCTCCTCAGGAGGAAGCGGTGCAGGAAGAACATGGACTCCACTTGTGACGTCCGTACGGGATAGTGGTGTGCCCCTAGCATGCGTGGGGTTTCTCCTGGTGCACTGATTGGTTGGCTGCGGACCGCAAACACTTGGACAATTGAACCTTATGGCGGACCCCAGGGTCTCGAATAAACGGAAGTCAAAATCGTAAATAATTAATTATAGGTCATTCCATCCCACCGCGCACATAAACGCCACGACCAGCCTGGCGCGGATCATTCTGTTGTCGTGTCCAAGCGCAGCAGCGAGGACGAATGAGCAGAAGAGTTGAACAAGGGAATGCACTCCATGCTCGGGTATGGGCAGGATCATAAGTCTTATCCAAAGCTAATCAAACTGCCTACACGACTCAAGTCCTTTATTTGTCATAACGGGGTATGCAAACTAAAGTGAAATTGCTCTCTTATCTTCATTGTTATTTGTGACCTACAAATGTCTGCAGCCAGGATCAATCGATGACAATCCTATTACCTGCAGATATTTAACAGATGATATGTGTGGCACCATTAATTCCTCCTGTTTGATATGCATCTGTGCAGATGTTTTTTTTGCGGTTAAGCCATAGTCCCCACATACCGCTCGTATCAATGCGGATAAGAGGAGCGGCCACCCACTACTCTGTATTCAGATTCCAAAGAACACAGGATGAGATGTTATTATCCTTTGTGCAAGCACTTCCAAGAGTTCATGAACAGTGAGCCTGGTGAAATTTGGGGAGCGCATCGTCAGTAGTGAACCTTTGGGTCCTAGGGTGTTTCGGCCTTTCATACTATACACCCTCCCCAAAGGCGGCCAGCGACAGGGTGATCAATCCTACGCTTGCGTCCCATTTCCAATTAGTCATAGGAGTTGCCTTGTTGTTGATAGCCAACATCCCATGGGACTATGCATGGCAGGGGCGTCCTCCTCCCTGAGTCAAGCATTGTTGACTGCATACCTCCTGGCCCTCTCACTTTGGGGCCCAGCTGGGGTCTTTCCTCTTCATCCAGAGCCACTGACTGCTGCCTTCTGCCGCCTCCGATACAGCTCTGATTGCCGAACGCTGGCTCTGGCCCTTAATTCCCAGGTCTCTAAGCAGTCTGGTTGTAGATGTTGCCACAAAACCTCTGCAGCCCACCTCCACTGGTAGGACTTCTGTGTTCCAGCCATGATGCCGTGCTTCGGCAGCTAGATCGGCATAGCGCAGATGTTTTCGCTCATAAGCCTCATCTACTGAGTCCTCCCAGGGTACTGTGAGCTCAATGATGAAGACCTTCTTGAGCGAACGGGACCAGAGCACCATGTCAGGTCTTAGGGTGGTGGTTGCGATCTCCGGAGGAAACACAAGTTGCCGGCCAATGTCAGCTAGCATTTTCCAGTCGCGGGCCAAGCGCAGCTGGTCTCGCTCTATTGGTGTAGAGCCGCTCTTTGGTGGTTTAGCCCCTTCGCGGACAAAGGTCGTCCGTAAGGGGTGTGATGCTGCTGGGGGTGGTAGGGAGTTGGTGGCAGTTCGCTTGTCCTCCAGGGCGGATGCAAGGTTTTTAAGGACTTGGTTGTGACGCCAAGTGTAGCGTCCTTGGGTGAGGCTTGTTTTACACCCTGTGAGAATGTGCCTGAGGTTGGCTGGCATGGAACAGAGGGCACAGTCCGGATCTTCACCATACCATTGGTGAAGATTAACTGGTGTTGGAAGGACGTCATATGTTGCTCTGATGGAAAAGCTCAACCGCCTCGCTTCCATGGCCCACAGATCCTTCCAGCTGATCTTCCTCTTCTCCACACTGTCCCATCGAGTCCACTGTCCCTGTTTGGCAAGAGAGACTGCCTTGGCCCACCTTGCAGCCTCCTCCTGATGGTGTACTTCCTGCACTACCATCTTCCGCCGCTCTGGTGCAGTGGCCTTACTCCAAGCAGCACGGCTAGTTAGTCCAAAGCCTCCTCTCCCTTGCTGAACATGACCCACAATGTCAGCATGTCTGAGGGCTGCTGTTGCCTCCTGGACTGCTTTTCCTGGCCTCCATTTGCGCCCAGTTGCCAAGGTCGGCGCGTTGTTGCTCACCACTGGGTCTCGAGATTCATTCAGTGTCATCTGGAGCCTGGTTTTTGCACACTTGAATTCCTCGGTTAGACTGGTGAGGGGCAGCTTGAGGACACCATCTCCATAGAGGCCTATGGTGGTAAGGCATCGTGGAACTCCGAGCCACTTCTTTAAGTAGCTTGTGACTCCTCTTTCCATCTTCTCCACTGTTGAGATTGGAACCTCATACACTGCTAGGGGCCACAACACCCGGGGTAGGAGACCAAACTGCAGACACCAGGCCTTTAACTTTCCAGGTAGCTGGGTGTTGTCGATGGACTGGAGGCTACTACTGATGTCTTTGCGCAGCTGTTGCACCTGGTCTTTGTCCTTCAGGCTTGCATCATACCACCTTCCAAGGCTTTTTACCGGCTGCTCAGACACTGTTGGGATTTGGTCATCTCCGATGAAGAATTTCAGGTCACAGAGTACTCCCTTCACAATCGAGATGCTGCGTGACTTGGATGGTTTAATCTTCATACGGGCCCAGCTGATGTTCTCCTCGAGTTTTCTGAGCAGTCTCCTGGTGCATGGGACAGTGGTGGTCAATGTTGTAATGTCGTCCATGTAGGCTCTGAGTGGAGGGAGGCGACAACCAGAGTCGACTCGCTGTCCACCAGCAACCCATTTTGAGGATCTGATGATAACCTCCATTGCCATTATGAATGCCAATGGAGAAATGGTACATCCCGCCATTATACCTACATTCAGGCATTGCCATGAGGTGGTGAACTCTGAGGTGGTGAAGCAGAACTGCAGATCCTGAAAGTACGACTTCACCAGGGTTGTGATGGTGTCCGGTATGTGGAAAAATCTGAAGGCAGACCACAGGAGTTCATGGGGCACAGAGCCAAATGCATTGGCGAGGTCGAGGAAGACTACATGGAGGTCCCTTTTCTCCACCTTGGCCATTTGGATCTGGTGCCAGATCATGCTGGAATGTTCCAAGCAGCCAGAGAACCCTGATATTCCTGCCTTCTGTACAGATGTATCGACGTACGCATTCCTTTGCAGGTACTCGGCCATCCTCTGGGCATCCTCTGGGCAATGATCCTAAAGAAGATTTTACCCTCGACATTCAGTAAGGAGATTGGGCGGAATTGGCTGATGTTCACTGCATCCTTCTCCTTAGGGATCAGGACCCCGCCTGCCCTACGCCACACTTTGGGTATTATCTTTTTTTTCCAAGCTATTCCCATAAGCCTCCAGAGGAACCTCAGGACGTCTGGTGCGTTCTTATACACTTTGTACGGGACTCCATTTGGCCCCGGGGCTGATGCTGTTCTTGCCCTTCGAACTGTGTTTTCCACCTCTTTCCATGTCGGAGGGCTGGTCTCAATATGATGTTCCGGGGGTTCAATGGGTGGGATATCTGATGGGATGGCCAGATGTTCATGTCGCTTTGAGTCAAAGTTTGTTGTTCTCAGGTGCTCTTCTAGGTCTTTCTTTGTTGTTTTTAGGACTCCACTTTTTTCCTTCGTGAAGAGACTTTTAAGGAACTTGAAGGGATCTTTATAGAATCGAGTTCTAGTTTGTTCTTTCTTCCTTCTGCGTTTCCGTAGGTTCTCTGCTCTACGGAGGGATGCCAACCGGGTTTTGATGTCAGCCTGAAGTGCCTCTATGCCCTCCTTTTCCACTTCCGAGGCTTTCTTCCACTGTTTCTTAAGCTGTCTCCTTTCTTGAACGAGGCGCTTGATTTCTTGTTGCCTCCTGGAAACTGGTGGGGTTGGAACCTTTCTCCCGCCTTTTGCCTCTTGCACTCCAAAGCTTTCTGCCCCGTACTCATAGATGATGTCCCCCATCCTCTCCAATTTCTTCTCCACTGTGCCTCGAAGTTTCTCGAGGGTCAAGGTAAGGTCAGTATTCACTGTTTCCCACAACTTCTTGTCACTGGCGCCAGGCCACTTCACATACGGTCTGTGCCCAGGTAGTCTCCTCTCGACTGCAGGTCTGGGAGGCTGGGTGAGGTCCACTCCTGTTGTTGGTTCCACCTCAGTTGTTACTTCGGTGCTTGAGTTTACGTCCTCCATGACAGTGGTACTGATGCACTGCAAACTATGGTTTGCGTCCAGTTGCTGTGCTTCATTCGACTGATTTGATCGCTTTCGCAGAAAGTAATCAATGCGAGGCCTCTGTCTCTCTTTACCCAAACACCCCTTCTTCCCCTGGTGGATCCTCAACCCGTGGTGTGATGTAACTTTCCTCCAACCACAGACACATACCTGCATCTGTTTGTGGCCTGCTGTTGCAGCGGAACTTGTGACAGTTGCTGTGGTGTTCTCTTGTGCTGTGCTCTCATTACTCGTAGTCGTTTCCGGTCCAGTCGTTACCATGTTGTCAGTCGATGAGTCATCTTTCGCCCCCGCTCTCGCAGACTCTAGGGGTATTCTCGTATGTTGACTTTCTGTAGCTAGAGCGGGTGTTTCCAACATACTGCGAAGCATGGGAAACTACAGAAATGGGAAGCTAACCCATGACTGTCCCAGTGGGGTCTATTCCCTCCTGTCAGCCGTCTCTCCGTGCCGCCACAAGGACTTTCCCCTGTTGTCAGCTGATCTTTCTCAGCAGTCACTGGACAAGTCCAGATATTCAGATTCCAAAGAACACAGGATGAGATGTTATTATCCTTTGTGCAAGCACTTCCAAGAGTTCATGAACAGTGAGCCTGGTGAAATTTGGGGAGCGCATCGTCAGTAGTGAACCTTTGGGTCCTAGGGTGTTTCGGCCTTTCATACTATACACCCTCCCCAAAGGCGGCCAGCGACAGGGTGATCAATCCTACGCTTGCGTCCCATTTCCAATTAGTCATAGGAGTTGCCTTGTTGTTGATAGCCAACAGGAGAGGAGCGGCCACCCACTACTCTGTAGAGTAACATTGGTATAAACGCTTGTTACAATCATGGGTGGAAAAAAACAGATTTTTCCAGAGGCAGGCATCGGGTTTTTTCTTTAATACAATTAAACCCAATTTCCGAGAATTAAAACCTGGTTTAATGAACACAAAACTCTGATCCAAGGCTTAGGCTGCTTCCTCGTCGGTGCTGCTATCGTACTCGGGGGGCCGTCGGGCACGGGGTAGTCGTAGAATGCGGCGGGCAGGTTGGTCTTGATGAACACGAGCTTCTCCACAATCGTGGGCGCCAGTGAGTTCCTTGGCTTGGAATGGATGAAGCCCATCATTGAGAAGTGCGGTTCTGCAATTAGAACCAATTAAACCGGATTTCTCCCAATCTCAGATGATTGGGTTTAATATAAAAAGACAATTAAACCCGATTGTAAAAAACCCGACTGTGCCACCCTTGGTTACAATATGAACAGGGCATTGAAAACGCGTACTATTTTACGTACTGTTTACAAAGTGTGTTCACAAATCCACACTGAGAAACACGATGATTGACAGAGGGGTGTAAATTTTTTTTTCGATAGTAAGCAGTTTTCAGTTTTAAAGGTATCGTTTAACAAGACAACACTTGCCACCATCCTTCAAACCCATTGGTGAAAAAGAGCAAACATTTTGTTCATATTGTTTACTTTATGGTTCTTTCGGTAAAGCCACGTAGAAAGAAAATACATTATATAATAGAATACGACGTTTCGATTGCAACACAAGCAACCATCATCAGGTACGAATGAATGAGAAAACAAGCATAGTAAACTTAGAAATATAATGCAACACAACCCAGAGAGTCGGCTAACACAAGAGTCAACATCCTACCTGGCTGATGAACCTTGATTTGAAGCTTTCGTGACTGCAGGAATCCACTCTTTGGTTCTTGCGGTAAAGTGACGTGGGTAGAAAATCAACTACATCACGACGTCTCGAACGCAACACAAGCGTCCGTCTTCAGGCGAAACGTCGCGACTTACTTTAGTTTATTTATAGCGACGTGACTTTACCGCGAGAACCAGAGAGTTTGGTTGATGGACGTTCTTCCAAAGAATGCTAAATTTGCGAGAGACTAAACATAGACACGGAGACACACAGACAGACACACAAGTAGAGAGAGAACACACAGTGAAGATGCTTGACAGGCTGCTGCTGATTGAAGGCCTCTCCACACAATGATGAACAAATGGTAAACGCCTGTTAGGCACAAAACGACGAGAGGCCAGCACTAAACAATGGCTTAAACTATTGTCACAAAAATATAATTGTCTTCATATTGTTAGTTCCAAATAAATACGAAATGCTAAAGTTACTTCATTTGCGATGCTTAGAATGTCGTCCAGCAGAGCATCGCATGGTCAAGGCCGAGTTTAAGAATAGAAGGCCAATTTGAAAAGATCATCAATAAGAGAGGCTTCATCGATCTCGTGAACATGTGTCGTGCAATCCGCACCACCCGACAAAGTCAATTAGCAAGGTTTGCCACGTAAAGAAGGCGATTAAAGGTAATAACTGTACATGTCGTGGGTTTACTCTCCAACACACTATTTGGTGTTTAGTTTACGTGACAAACCTTACTCATTGGATGTGTCGGGTGGTGGCGGACTTAACGACACATTCATATTCACGCGATCCAATCCACAAACCTCTACTATCGATTATATTGGTCGCGAAAACCTCCTCCGCTTTGTTAAACTTGACAACCTCAGATCGCGGTCGTTTACCAACGATGCGAGCCCGAGGCCTGGCGCAGGAGGCCTCCACCACCTCCTCCACCACCACCTCCACCATCACCACCTCGTCCATCACCATCTACTCCATCACCACCTCCATCACCACCACCTCCATCACCACCTCCATCACCACCACCACCACCTCCATCACCACCACTTCCACCACCATTTCCACCACCACCTCCACTACCTCCACCACCACCACTTCCTCCACCACCACTTCCACCACCATTTCCATCACCACCTCCACCACCACCTCCACCACCATTTCCACCACCATTTCCACCATCACCACCACCACCTCCACCACCACTTCCACCACCACCACTTCCACCACCACCACTTCCACCACTTCCACCACCACCACTTCCACCACCACCACTTCCACCACCACCACTTCCACCACCACCACTTCCACCACCACCACCACTTCCACCACCACCACTTCCACCACCACCTCCACCACGTCCACCACTTCCACCACTTCCACCACCACCACCACTTCCACCACCACCACCACCACCTCCACCACCACCACCTCCACTCGTAGCAGCAGCAGCGGCAGCAGCTGGGCCCGCGTTGGCCTTGCCACTGATCACACGACGAGGCGATTGCTTGGGTCGTCGCGATTAACGGTCGCGATTCTAATCAGTAATCGATTTCTCTCCAGCCCACTCTCTCCACTTCGTATTTACTCTTCTATCGATCTGGCGTGCCCACTGTTGCTCGCTCTATCAGCCTCAATGTCAGGTGAGAGAAACATGTTCGCGGTCGCGATTCGATTCTAATAGTGCAATCGATTAATCTCGGGTAGTGTTAACGTGAGTCGATTATTGATCACGTGTCATTCGGTCTCCGTTTACAAACAAAACATTTGTAAAATGAACAGGGCACGTCTCATGGCGGACCCTCATCGATAGGACAGCCGCAGTTGGAGTTCAACCAAATAACGCTGCGAACCTGAGTCGATCAGGGCGCGATGAGGACTCGATTCGTTGATAATCGATTAATCGAGTGGCGGTCACGTGGTCGGCGCGGGGCGTGGCCTGTGGGCGTGGCCTGTGGGCTATGGGCGTGGCCTGTGGGCTATGGGCGTGGGATGTGGGCGTGGCCTGTAGGCTGTGGGCGTGGCCTGTGGGCTATGGGCGTAAGATGTGGGCGTGGCTTGTAGGCTGTGGGCGTGGCCTGTAGGCTATTGCGTGGGATGTGGGCGTGGCCTGTAGGCTGTGGGCGTGGTGACGTAGGCTGTGGGCGTGGCCTCACTTGACGCGCGGCTGGGCAGGTGGAAAGCAGCAGCGCCTCGATCTTGATCCTCATCTTCCTCAATCTTCCTCCTACATCTTGATCCTTCTCCTCAATCTTCCTCCTCCTCAATCTTGATCCTCCTCGTCGGCGATCTTCGTCGCTACCCGAAGGGCGATCTTCGACCTTCGCGTTGTGCCGCCTCGACTCGCCTCTCGTGCCCCCTCCCTCCCTCCCCCCGTGCGGACGAGCGGCCCCGCCATGGGAGCGTGCTGCTCCTGCACTCGGCAGCGCGAGCGTCCCCGCAAGAAGAGGTGAGTCGGACGCTGAAGCCCCACGCGGGCCCCGTGTGAGTCGGACGCTGAAGCCCCACGCGGGCCCCGTGTGAGTTGGACGCTGAAGCCCCACGCGGGCCCCGTGTGAGTCGGGCGCTGAAGCCCCACGCGGGCCCCGTGTGAGTCGGACGCTGAAGCCCCACGCGGGCCCCGTGTGAGTCGGACGCTAAAGCTCCGCAGTATAAACACTGGGGAGGGGTTGGTGGTGACCATTGTTATAATTACTGTAGGTGTGGGCCAGCATAGGTGTGAGTATAATCGTCGCCTCCTCATCCCACAACTTCTCCACGGTGTCGCGTTTTATTCGAGTCACTCTACTGCTGGATGAGGACCCCCCCACACCGTGTGGGTCGTGGGGGTTATTTGACCATACTTCACCACTCTGGGCAGTGCGGGGTTGTGAAGGCGGGGGACAGCATAGGTGTGGAGTATGTAAGTGCAGTACAACGATGTTTCTGCACAGACCTACAGATCACATTGCAGCCCCCGCAGTCTCCAGCAGCTGCTGTGATCAGTGGTCGCCGATCCAAGCTCTGATCGCGCTCATTCACAGTGACAACAAATGCTGCTTCTGAGAATCCGTACTTTCATCAGCGTTGGAGCAAACAAATACATTGGGCAGGTTGTTATCACTGTCTCATCGCCAAAGTCGGGCTTGCTTGAACCAATACTGGTGATATGCAAGGCCGTAATTATTATATATATTGGGGGGGGGGGGGACACATCCCCCCCCCCCCCCCCAATATTCAAATATGCTCAAAATGTCCCCCCCAATATATTGCTATAAAATAGATTTCTGTTTATATGATTGTGGTTATGGTTGTACTTTATAAATCCCTAATCTCTGCCATTACATACAATGAAACAAGAAAAGATCAAAAATAAAAAAACAGAGCAATGTAATACAATACAATATTAGACATTATTGTTAAAAATACATAAAATTTAAATCCCACGTGTTAGTGAATTTTTTTCAATATTTTAGGCAAGAAATTCGTTTTCAAATTTAGATTTTGTTTCTGGGGGTTGACCCCCTGGAAGATTTGGTCCCCCCCAATGTTGACTCCATGACTACAGCCTTGGTGAAATGCCACATGTTTTATGAGATTGAGATCCATTGCTTGGACGAACTCAATGCTGACATTAAAACCGAATCACTTATTGCAGATATTGTAAGAAACACCGCTGCAGGCATAACCGTGCCAAGAATGGCATTGATGACCACGCCGATGCATCCTCTCCCACCACCAGCGAACGCTCGGCGTCACCGGTGGTGCAGGAAGGTGCAGCCACCTCGGGCTCGTGTGGAAAGGTAAGAATCATCACCATCATCGTCTCACACGAACACAACATCTCGTGCATTCAGCCACATGGTAACCGACATAGAACCATCCACCGCGGAGATGGAATTATAAAATAAGTTTGTGTGTAGGTACCAGCTGGACTCTTTTGCATTGTCGGACTGTGAGAGAATTATTTTGAATTTTTGGACTCTGAGAGGGAGTGACAGATTGGGGAGGCCTTCATCCAACATCAGTTTGACTATGGCTGATGATTATATAACTGACAATTGTTGAATGATTCCTCTGTCATCATATCATCACCAGCTATTTTCTATCCACTTCCAAATGACGGCCCGACACACATCACCACTCCCCATCACATTCACGCAATGCCTCAATGTTTCTGGCTCCTGCACGAGCATTGAACTCATTGCTCCATCTCCACGGTGTCCGCCTTTTTCCTTTTTGGCTGCCATTCAATTACCAACCCCGTCCATCTGTTCTCGCAATGTATCCTGCACAATCCAGGTTCATCGGAACGGCTAATTGCATGGTTCAAACGTGACTTTCTACGCGTCTTGGTGCACACTTTAGCTTGCGCTCCCTTATCTCTGCACTACACGTGTGCACTCTCTATCTAGTGCGTAAACCATGAACGTGATTCCCTCGACAGGAGGCGCCGGCAGAGTGCCAGGTCATTGTGCCGCTCTCCCCACTTGACATCGCTGGACGACCATTGCCCGATGGGGATGTCGAGCCCCCCCACGCCTCCGCTGAGAAACCCCTTCTCCTGGTCGAGGAGAAGGTACCCAGCGTGGAGGAGGCGGAGCGACGCGACAATGAGCCGGAAGTCAGGTAGGGAGGGGAGTGGGAGATGCAGCAGTAGCGGTGGGTGCTGGGGTCTGGTTAGGGAGAACCAGTCGTCTGGACAGGCAGTTAGACAATTACTGTAGGTGTGGGCCAGCATAGGTGTGAGTATAATCGTAACCTCCTCATCCCACAACTTCTCCACGGTGTCGCGTTTTATTCGAGTCACTCTACTGCTGGATGAGGACCCCCCCACACCGTGTGGGTCGTGGGGGTTATTTGACCATACTTCACCACTCTGGGCAGTGCGGGGTTGTGAAGGCGGGGGACAGCATAGGTGTGGAGTATGTAAGTGCAGTACAACGATGTTTCTGCACAGACCTACAGATCACATTGCAGCCCCCGCAGTCTCCAGCAGCTGCTGTGATCAGTGGTCGCCGATCCAAGCTCTGATCGCGCTCATTCACAGTGACAACAAATGCTGCTTCTGAGAATCCGTACTTTCATCAGCGTTGGAGCAAACAAATACATTGGGCAGGTTGTTATCACTGTCTCATCGCCAAAGTCGGGCTCGCTTGACCCAGTACTGGTGAAATGCAAGGCCAATATTCAAATATGCTCAAAATGTCCCCCCCAATATATTGCTATAAAATAGATTTCTGTTTATATGACTGTGGTTATGGTTGTACTTTATTAATCCCTAATCTCTGCCATTACTTACAATGAAACAAGAAAAGATGAAAAATAAAAAACAGAGCAATGTAATACAATACAATATTAGACATTATTGTTAAAAATACATAAAATTTAAATCCCATGTGTTAGTGAATTTTTTTCAATATTTTAGGCAAGAAATTAGTTTTCAAATTTAGATTTTGTTTCTGGGGGTTGACCCCCTGGAAGATTTGGTCCCCCCAATGTTGACTCCATGGCTACAGCCTTGGTGAAATGCCACATGTTTTATGAGATTGAGATCCATTGCTTAGACGAACTCAATGCTGACATTAAAACCGAATCACTTATTGCAGACATTGTAAGAAGCACCGCTGCAGGCATAACCGTGCCAAGAATGGCATTGATGACCACGCCGATGCATCCTCTCCCACCACCAGCGAACGCTCGGCGTCACCGGTGGTGCAGGAAGGTGCAGCCACCTCGGGCTCGTGTGGAAAGGTAAGAATCATCACCATCATCGTCTCACACGAACACAACATCTCGTGCATTCAGCCACATGGTAACCGACATAGAACCATCCACCGCGGAGATGGAATTATAAAATAAGTTTGTGTGTAGGTACCAGCTGGACTCTTTTGCATTGTCGGACTGTGAGAGAATTATTTTGAATTTTTGGACTCTGAGAGGGAGTGACAGATTGGGGAGGCCTTCATCCAACATCAGTTTGACTATGGCTGATGATTATATAACTGACAATTGTTGAATGATTCCTCTGTCATCATATCATCACCAGCTATTTTCTATCCACTTCCAAATGACGGCCCGACACACATCACCACTCCCCATCACATTCACGCAATGCCTCAATGTTTCTGGCTCCTGCACGAGCATTGAACTCATTGCTCCATCTCCACGGTGTCCGCCTTTTTCCTTTTTGGCTGCCATTCAATTACCAACCCCGTCCATCTGTTCTCGCAATGTATCCTGCACAATCCAGGTTCATCGGAACGGCTAATTGCATGGTTCAAACGTGACTTTCTACGCGTCTTGGTGCACACTTTAGCTTGCGCTCCCTTATCTCTGCACTACACGTGTGCACTCTCTATCTAGTGCGTAAACCATGAACGTGATTCCCTCGACAGGAGGCGCCGGCAGAGTGCCAGGTCATTGTGCCGCTCTCCCCACTTGACATCGCTGGACGACCATTGCCCGATGGGGATGTCGAGCCCCCCCACGCCTCCGCTGAGAAACCCCTTCTCCTGGTCGAGGAGAAGGTACCCAGCGTGGAGGAGGCGGAGCGACGCGACAATGAGCCGGAAGTCAGGTAGGGAGGGGAGTGGGAGATGCAGCAGTAGCGGTGGGTGCTGGGGTCTGGTTAGGGAGAACCAGTCGTCTGGACAGGCAGTTAGACAATTACTGTAGGTGTGGGCCAGCATAGGTGTGAGTATAATCGTAACCTCCTCATCCCACAACTTCTCCACGGTGTCGCGTTTTATTCGAGTCACTCTACTGCTGGATGAGGACCCCCCCACACCGTGTGGGTCGTGGGGGTTATTTGACCATACTTCACCACTCTGGGCAGTGCGGGGTTGTGAAGGCGGGGGACAGCATAGGTGTGGAGTATGTAAGTGCAGTACAACGATGTTTCTGCACAGACCTACAGATCACATTGCAGCCCCCGCAGTCTCCAGCAGCTGCTGTGATCAGTGGTCGCCGATCCAAGCTCTGATCGCGCTCATTCACAGTGACAACAAATGCTGCTTCTGAGAATCCGTACTTTCATCAGCGTTGGAGCAAACAAATACATTGGGCAGGTTGTTATCACTGTCTCATCGCCAAAGTCGGGCTCGCTTGACCCAGTACTGGTGAAATGCAAGGCCAATATTCAAATATGCTCAAAATGTCCCCCCCAATATATTGCTATAAAATAGATTTCTGTTTATATGACTGTGGTTATGGTTGTACTTTATTAATCCCTAATCTCTGCCATTACTTACAATGAAACAAGAAAAGATGAAAAATAAAAAACAGAGCAATGTAATACAATACAATATTAGACATTATTGTTAAAAATACATAAAATTTAAATCCCATGTGTTAGTGAATTTTTTTCAATATTTTAGGCAAGAAATTAGTTTTCAAATTTAGATTTTGTTTCTGGGGGTTGACCCCCTGGAAGATTTGGTCCCCCCAATGTTGACTCCATGGCTACAGCCTTGGTGAAATGCCACATGTTTTATGAGATTGAGATCCATTGCTTAGACGAACTCAATGCTGACATTAAAACCGAATCACTTATTGCAGACATTGTAAGAAGCACCGCTGCAGGCATAACCGTGCCAAGAATGGCATTGATGACCACGCCGATGCATCCTCTCCCACCACCAGCGAACGCTCGGCGTCACCGGTGGTGCAGGAAGGTGCAGCCACCTCGGGCTCGTGTGGAAAGGTAAGAATCCTCACTATCATCGTCTCACACGAACACAACATCTCGTGCATTCAGCCACATGGTAACCGACATAGAACCATCCACCGCGGAGATGGAATTATAAAATAAGTTTGTGTGTAGGTACCAGCTGGACTCTTTTGCATTGTCGGACTGTGAGAGAATTATTTTGAATTTTTGGACTCTGAGAGGGAGTGACAGATTGGGGAGGCCTTCATCCAACATCAGTTTGACTATGGCTGATGATTATATAACTGACAATTGTTGAATGATTCCTCTGTCATCATATCATCACCAGCTATTTTCTATCCACTTCCAAATGACGGCCCGACACACATCACCACTCCCCATCACATTCACGCAATGCCTCAATGTTTCTGGCTCCTGCACGAGCATTGAACTCATTGCTCCATCTCCACGGTGTCCGCCTTTTTCCTTTTTGGCTGCCATTCAATTACCAACCCCGTCCATCTGTTCTCGCAATGTATCCTGCACAATCCAGGTTCATCGGAACGGCTAATTGCATGGTTCAAACGTGACTTTCTACGCGTCTTGGTGCACACTTTAGCTTGCGCTCCCTTATCTCTGCACTACACGTGTGCACTCTCTATCTAGTGCGTAAACCATGAACGTGATTCCCTCGACAGGAGGCGCCGGCAGAGTGCCAGGTCATTGTGCCGCTCTCCCCACTTGACATCGCTGGACGACCATTGCCCGATGGGGATGTCGAGCCCCCCCACGCCTCCGCTGAGAAACCCCTTCTCCTGGTCGAGGAGAAGGTACCCAGCGTGGAGGAGGCGGAGCGACGCGACAATGAGCCGGAAGTCAGGTAGGGAGGGGAGTGGGAGATGCAGCAGTAGCGGTGGGTGCTGGGGTCTGGTTAGGGAGAACCAGTCGTCTGGACAGGCAGTTAGACAATTACTGTAGGTGTGGGCCAGCATAGGTGTGAGTATAATCGTAACCTCCTCATCCCACAACTTCTCCACGGTGTCGCGTTTTATTCGAGTCACTCTACTGCTGGATGAGGACCCCCCCACACCGTGTGGGTCGTGGGGGTTATTTGACCATACTTCACCACTCTGGGCAGTGCGGGGTTGTGAAGGCGGGGGACAGCATAGGTGTGGAGTATGTAAGTGCAGTACAACGATGTTTCTGCACAGACCTACAGATCACATTGCAGCCCCCGCAGTCTCCAGCAGCTGCTGTGATCAGTGGTCGCCGATCCAAGCTCTGATCGCGCTCATTCACAGTGACAACAAATGCTGCTTCTGAGAATCCGTACTTTCATCAGCGTTGGAGCAAACAAATACATTGGGCAGGTTGTTATCACTGTCTCATCGCCAAAGTCGGGCTCGCTTGACCCAGTACTGGTGAAATGCAAGGCCAATATTCAAATATGCTCAAAATGTCCCCCCCAATATATTGCTATAAAATAGATTTCTGTTTATATGACTGTGGTTATGGTTGTACTTTATTAATCCCTAATCTCTGCCATTACTTACAATGAAACAAGAAAAGATGAAAAATAAAAAACAGAGCAATGTAATACAATACAATATTAGACATTATTGTTAAAAATACATAAAATTTAAATCCCATGTGTTAGTGAATTTTTTTCAATATTTTAGGCAAGAAATTAGTTTTCAAATTTAGATTTTGTTTCTGGGGGTTGACCCCCTGGAAGATTTGGTCCCCCCAATGTTGACTCCATGGCTACAGCCTTGGTGAAATGCCACATGTTTTATGAGATTGAGATCCATTGCTTAGACGAACTCAATGCTGACATTAAAACCGAATCACTTATTGCAGACATTGTAAGAAGCACCGCTGCAGGCATAACCGTGCCAAGAATGGCATTGATGACCACGCCGATGCATCCTCTCCCACCACCAGCGAACGCTCGGCGTCACCGGTGGTGCAGGAAGGTGCAGCCACCTCGGGCTCGTGTGGAAAGGTAAGAATCGTCACCATCATCGTCTCACACGAACACAACATCTCGTGCATTCAGCCACATGGTAACCGACATAGAACCATCCACCGCGGAGATGGAATTATAAAATAAGTTTGTGTGTAGGTACCAGCTGGACTCTTTTGCATTGTCGGACTGTGAGAGAATTATTTTGAATTTTTGGACTCTGAGAGGGAGTGACAGATTGGGGAGGCCTTCATCCAACATCAGTTTGACTATGGCTGATGATTATATAACTGACAATTGTTGAATGATTCCTCTGTCATCATATCATCACCAGCTATTTTCTATCCACTTCCAAATGACGGCCCGACACACATCACCACTCCCCATCACATTCACGCAATGCCTCAATGTTTCTGGCTCCTGCACGAGCATTGAACTCATTGCTCCATCTCCACGGTGTCCGCCTTTTTCCTTTTTGGCTGCCATTCAATTACCAACCCCGTCCATCTGTTCTCGCAATGTATCCTGCACAATCCAGGTTCATCGGAACGGCTAATTGCATGGTTCAAACGTGACTTTCTACGCGTCTTGGTGCACACTTTAGCTTGCGCTCCCTTATCTCTGCACTACACGTGTGCACTCTCTATCTAGTGCGTAAACCATGAACGTGATTCCCTCGACAGGAGGCGCCGGCAGAGTGCCAGGTCATTGTGCCGCTCTCCCCACTTGACATCGCTGGACGACCATTGCCCGATGGGGATGTCGAGCCCCCCCACGCCTCCGCTGAGAAACCCCTTCTCCTGGTCGAGGAGAAGGTACCCAGCGTGGAGGAGGCGGAGCGACGCGACAATGAGCCGGAAGTCAGGTAGGGAGGGGAGTGGGAGATGCAGCAGTAGCGGTGGGTGCTGGGGTCTGGTTAGGGAGAACCAGTCGTCTGGACAGGCAGTTAGACAATTACTGTAGGTGTGGGCCAGCATAGGTGTGAGTATAATCGTAACCTCCTCATCCCACAACTTCTCCACGGTGTCGCGTTTTATTCGAGTCACTCTACTGCTGGATGAGGACCCCCCCACACCGTGTGGGTCGTGGGGGTTATTTGACCATACTTCACCACTCTGGGCAGTGCGGGGTTGTGAAGGCGGGGGACAGCATAGGTGTGGAGTATGTAAGTGCAGTACAACGATGTTTCTGCACAGACCTACAGATCACATTGCAGCCCCCGCAGTCTCCAGCAGCTGCTGTGATCAGTGGTCGCCGATCCAAGCTCTGATCGCGCTCATTCACAGTGACAACAAATGCTGCTTCTGAGAATCCGTACTTTCATCAGCGTTGGAGCAAACAAATACATTGGGCAGGTTGTTATCACTGTCTCATCGCCAAAGTCGGGCTCGCTTGACCCAGTACTGGTGAAATGCAAGGCCAATATTCAAATATGCTCAAAATGTCCCCCCCAATATATTGCTATAAAATAGATTTCTGTTTATATGACTGTGGTTATGGTTGTACTTTATTAATCCCTAATCTCTGCCATTACTTACAATGAAACAAGAAAAGATGAAAAATAAAAAACAGAGCAATGTAATACAATACAATATTAGACATTATTGTTAAAAATACATAAAATTTAAATCCCATGTGTTAGTGAATTTTTTTCAATATTTTAGGCAAGAAATTAGTTTTCAAATTTAGATTTTGTTTCTGGGGGTTGACCCCCTGGAAGATTTGGTCCCCCCAATGTTGACTCCATGGCTACAGCCTTGGTGAAATGCCACATGTTTTATGAGATTGAGATCCATTGCTTAGACGAACTCAATGCTGACATTAAAACCGAATCACTTATTGCAGACATTGTAAGAAGCACCGCTGCAGGCATAACCGTGCCAAGAATGGCATTGATGACCACGCCGATGCATCCTCTCCCACCACCAGCGAACGCTCGGCGTCACCGGTGGTGCAGGAAGGTGCAGCCACCTCGGGCTCGTGTGGAAAGGTAAGAATCCTCACTATCATCGTCTCACACGAACACAACATCTCGTGCATTCAGCCACATGGTAACCGACATAGAACCATCCACCGCGGAGATGGAATTATAAAATAAGTTTGTGTGTAGGTGCCAGCTGGACTCTTTTGCATTGTCGGACTGTGAGAGAATTATTTTGAATTTTTGGACTCTGAGAGGGAGTGACAGATTGGGGAGGCCTTCATCCAACATCAGTTTGACTATGGCTGATGATTATATAACTGACAATTGTTGAATGATTCCTCTGTCATCATATCATCACCAGCTATTTTCTATCCACTTCCAAATGACGGCCCGACACACATCACCACTCCCCATCACATTCACGCAATGCCTCAATGTTTCTGGCTCCTGCACGAGCATTGAACTCATTGCTCCATCTCCACGGTGTCCGCCTTTTTCCTTTTTGGCTGCCATTCAATTACCAACCCCGTCCATCTGTTCTCGCAATGTATCCTGCACAATCCAGGTTCATCGGAACGGCTAATTGCATGGTTCAAACGTGACTTTCTACGCGTCTTGGTGCACACTTTAGCTTGCGCTCCCTTATCTCTGCACTACACGTGTGCACTCTCTATCTAGTGCGTAAACCATGAACGTGATTCCCTCGACAGGAGGCGCCGGCAGAGTGCCAGGTCATTGTGCCGCTCTCCCCACTTGACATCGCTGGACGACCATTGCCCGATGGGGATGTCGAGCCCCCCCACGCCTCCGCTGAGAAACCCCTTCTCCTGGTCGAGGAGAAGGTACCCAGCGTGGAGGAGGCGGAGCGACGCGACAATGAGCCGGAAGTCAGGTAGGGAGGGGAGTGGGAGATGCAGCAGTAGCGGTGGGTGCTGGGGTCTGGTTAGGGAGAACCAGTCGTCTGGACAGGCAGTTAGACAATTACTGTAGGTGTGGGCCAGCATAGGTGTGAGTATAATCGTAACCTCCTCATCCCACAACTTCTCCACGGTGTCGCGTTTTATTCGAGTCACTCTACTGCTGGATGAGGACCCCCCCACACCGTGTGGGTCGTGGGGGTTATTTGACCATACTTCACCACTCTGGGCAGTGCGGGGTTGTGAAGGCGGGGGACAGCATAGGTGTGGAGTATGTAAGTGCAGTACAACGATGTTTCTGCACAGACCTACAGATCACATTGCAGCCCCCGCAGTCTCCAGCAGCTGCTGTGATCAGTGGTCGCCGATCCAAGCTCTGATCGCGCTCATTCACAGTGACAACAAATGCTGCTTCTGAGAATCCGTACTTTCATCAGCGTTGGAGCAAACAAATACATTGGGCAGGTTGTTATCACTGTCTCATCGCCAAAGTCGGGCTCGCTTGACCCAGTACTGGTGAAATGCAAGGCCAATATTCAAATATGCTCAAAATGTCCCCCCCAATATATTGCTATAAAATAGATTTCTGTTTATATGACTGTGGTTATGGTTGTACTTTATTAATCCCTAATCTCTGCCATTACTTACAATGAAACAAGAAAAGATGAAAAATAAAAAACAGAGCAATGTAATACAATACAATATTAGACATTATTGTTAAAAATACATAAAATTTAAATCCCATGTGTTAGTGAATTTTTTTCAATATTTTAGGCAAGAAATTAGTTTTCAAATTTAGATTTTGTTTCTGGGGGTTGACCCCCTGGAAGATTTGGTCCCCCCAATGTTGACTCCATGGCTACAGCCTTGGTGAAATGCCACATGTTTTATGAGATTGAGATCCATTGCTTAGACGAACTCAATGCTGACATTAAAACCGAATCACTTATTGCAGACATTGTAAGAAGCACCGCTGCAGGCATAACCGTGCCAAGAATGGCATTGATGACCACGCCGATGCATCCTCTCCCACCACCAGCGAACGCTCGGCGTCACCGGTGGTGCAGGAAGGTGCAGCCACCTCGGGCTCGTGTGGAAAGGTAAGAATCGTCACCATCATCGTCTCACACGAACACAACATCTCGTGCATTCAGCCACATGGTAACCGACATAGAACCATCCACCGCGGAGATGGAATTATAAAATAAGTTTGTGTGTAGGTGCCAGCTGGACTCTTTTGCATTGTCGGACTGTGAGAGAATTATTTTGAATTTTTGGACTCTGAGAGGGAGTGACAGATTGGGGAGGCCTTCATCCAACATCAGTTTGACTATGGCTGATGATTATATAACTGACAATTGTTGAATGATTCCTCTGTCATCATATCATCACCAGCTATTTTCTATCCACTTCCAAATGACGGCCCGACACACATCACCACTCCCCATCACATTCACGCAATGCCTCAATGTTTCTGGCTCCTGCACGAGCATTGAACTCATTGCTCCATCTCCACGGTGTCCGCCTCTTTTCCATTTTTGGCTGCCATTCAATTACCAACCCCGTCCATCTGTTCTCGCAATGTATCCTGCACAATCCAGGTTCATCGGAACGGCTAATTGCATGGTTCAAACGTGACTTTCTACGCGTCTTGGTGCACACTTTAGCTTGCGCTCCCTTATCTCTGCACTACACGTGTGCACTCTCTATCTAGTGCGTAAACCATGAACGTGATTCCCTCGACAGGAGGCGCCGGCAGAGTGCCAGGTCATTGTGCCGCTCTCCCCACTTGACATCGCTGGACGACCATTGCCCGATGGGGATGTCGAGCCCCCCCACGCCTCCGCTGAGAAACCCCTTCTCCTGGTCGAGGAGAAGGTACCCAGCGTGGAGGAGGCGGAGCGACGCGACAATGAGCCGGAAGTCAGGTAGGGAGGGGAGTGGGAGATGCAGCAGTAGCGGTGGGTGCTGGGGTCTGGTTAGGGAGAACCAGTCGTCTGGACAGGCAGTTAGACAATTACTGTAGGTGTGGGCCAGCATAGGTGTGAGTATAATCGTAACCTCCTCATCCCACAACTTCTCCACGGTGTCGCGTTTTATTCGAGTCACTCTACTGCTGGATGAGGACCCCCCCACACCGTGTGGGTCGTGGGGGTTATTTGACCATACTTCACCACTCTGGGCAGTGCGGGGTTGTGAAGGCGGGGGACAGCATAGGTGTGGAGTATGTAAGTGCAGTACAACGATGTTTCTGCACAGACCTACAGATCACATTGCAGCCCCCGCAGTCTCCAGCAGCTGCTGTGATCAGTGGTCGCCGATCCAAGCTCTGATCGCGCTCATTCACAGTGACAACAAATGCTGCTTCTGAGAATCCGTACTTTCATCAGCGTTGGAGCAAACAAATACATTGGGCAGGTTGTTATCACTGTCTCATCGCCAAAGTCGGGCTCGCTTGACCCAGTACTGGTGAAATGCAAGGCCAATATTCAAATATGCTCAAAATGTCCCCCCCAATATATTGCTATAAAATAGATTTCTGTTTATATGACTGTGGTTATGGTTGTACTTTATTAATCCCTAATCTCTGCCATTACTTACAATGAAACAAGAAAAGATGAAAAATAAAAAACAGAGCAATGTAATACAATACAATATTAGACATTATTGTTAAAAATACATAAAATTTAAATCCCATGTGTTAGTGAATTTTTTTCAATATTTTAGGCAAGAAATTAGTTTTCAAATTTAGATTTTGTTTCTGGGGGTTGACCCCCTGGAAGATTTGGTCCCCCCAATGTTGACTCCATGGCTACAGCCTTGGTGAAATGCCACATGTTTTATGAGATTGAGATCCATTGCTTAGACGAACTCAATGCTGACATTAAAACCGAATCACTTATTGCAGACATTGTAAGAAGCACCGCTGCAGGCATAACCGTGCCAAGAATGGCATTGATGACCACGCCGATGCATCCTCTCCCACCACCAGCGAACGCTCGGCGTCACCGGTGGTGCAGGAAGGTGCAGCCACCTCGGGCTCGTGTGGAAAGGTAAGAATCATCACCATCATCGTCTCACACGAACACAACATCTCGTGCATTCAGCCACATGGTAACCGACATAGAACCATCCACCGCGGAGATGGAATTATAAAATAAGTTTGTGTGTAGGTGCCAGCTGGACTCTTTTGCATTGTCGGACTGTGAGAGAATTATTTTGAATTTTTGGACTCTGAGAGGGAGTGACAGATTGGGGAGGCCTTCATCCAACATCAGTTTGACTATGGCTGATGATTATATAACTGACAATTGTTGAATGATTCCTCTGTCATCATATCATCACCAGCTATTTTCTATCCACTTCCAAATGACGGCCCGACACACATCACCACTCCCCATCACATTCACGCAATGCCTCAATGTTTCTGGCTCCTGCACGAGCATTGAACTCATTGCTCCATCTCCACGGTGTCCGCCTTTTTCCTTTTTGGCTGCCATTCAATTACCAACCCCGTCCATCTGTTCTCGCAATGTATCCTGCACAATCCAGGTTCATCGGAACGGCTAATTGCATGGTTCAAACGTGACTTTCTACGCGTCTTGGTGCACACTTTAGCTTGCGCTCCCTTATCTCTGCACTACACGTGTGCACTCTCTATCTAGTGCGTAAACCATGAACGTGATTCCCTCGACAGGAGGCGCCGGCAGAGTGCCAGGTCATTGTGCCGCTCTCCCCACTTGACGTCGCTGGACGACCATTGCCCGATGGGGATGTCGAGCCCCCCCACGCCTCCGCTGAGAAACCCCTTCTCCTGGTCGAGGAGAAGGTACCCAGCGTGGAGGAGGCGGAGCGACGCGACAATGAGCCGGAAGTCAGGTAGGGAGGGGAGTGGGAGATGCAGCAGTAGCGGTGGGTGCTGGGGTCTGGTTAGGGAGAACCAGTCGTCTGGACAGGCAGTTAGACAATTACTGTAGGTGTGGGCCAGCATAGGTGTGAGTTGGTGTGTGTGTAGGTTTTAGTGAGTGTTGGTGGGATGGAGTGTAGGTGTGAGTGAGTGTAAGCGTGAGCGAGTGCAGGTGTGAGTGAGTGTAGGTGTGATGAAGTGTAGGTGTGAGGGAGTGCAGGTGTGAGGGAGTGCAGGTGTGTTCTTTGTGTAGGCTCATGTATGAGTGTGAGTGTCAGCTAGAGCTCGTGTACAATGGTGTTGGTTCCGGCTAGCGTAAGGGTACGTAGAATGACACTAGCGAACACTTTTGTGATCATTTGTTGTTTTGTTTCAGCTCTGAAAATGTTATCCTCGAGATCATCACTGAGGAATTCTGCTCTGGAATCATGGTGAGAGTCTTGGTGTAGCGAGTTTAGAGTCTCAGCCTGGTCACCAATTATCACGTAGCATTTGTTATGCCACTTGCTTTGGTAGTTTGGCACAGCAGTTTGCACGCTGCGCTGCGAACCCAGCAACCTCAGTTGGATTCCCAGCAAAGGCTAGATTCATTGGAGGGGGCTATCAGGGCTTCCGGACTGTACGTTTGTAACGACGTTTCAAACGTGCGGCATAGCCCGAACACGCAACCTTGGCACCCATCTACACGACAATCCGGCATATCCTGCTGACGGGACTCGGATCATCAACACCGGCCCAGAGATTCCCTGATGGAAAACATTGGTCCCACAAGCTCATAGGCCGATGAACTAAAACGTTAATTTCTCCATAGGCTGCGAAACAGATACGTGTCCTTTGATTTTTTTAAGTCGGAACATTCATCAGCTATGAGAATGCATTTGGCGGCACACCCTTATAAAACACAGCGTGGTTTGGTGCGGTTTGCTGTCTGCAGAGCATCGGAGATGGTGGCGAGGATGCACCGTGCCTGGCACACGAGTGCGAGCCGCTGGAGCAAGGTGAGGCGTCGTTCCCTCTATTATAACGGGTTGTGTGTGGATCCCCGGTTATAATGGACCGTGTGTGGGACCCTGGGAATTATGACCCATATGTGGAACCCTGGTTTTAATGGGTGGTGTGTGGGTCCCTGGTTATAACGGGCTGTGTGTGGGTCCCTGGTTATAACGGGCTGTGTGTTGCATCGTCTGCCACAGCGGGTGGAGAGTGGGCGGAGAGCAGCGTCCCGCAGCGCCGCCACGACGAGCTGCAGCGCCACTTGGCGGAGACGGTGGAGAGCCTGAAGGAGCTCAATGGCAGCCAGGACCTCGAGGTATGCGGGAGGTCGTGAGGTCAATCCCGATTCTGACAACTACCGTATACTTGCAGTTCACATATTCTCTCCTCATGGTTGCGTGGATTTTTCTCCAGGTCCTCCGATTTTTCCCTCCACATTTAGAGACGTGTTTTAGAGTATTTGGCTGCTATAAATATCCATGCGACATTTCACTAAGTGGAGCTAGCAGTTGTAGCCGAGTCTCTTCTGAAAAAGTGCTATATAGCTCAGTGGGCCTTACCTGGTTAAATAAAACTAGTGTTAGTTTAATAGTTGAGTTTGAATAGTGTGAGTGTACCTGTGTGTGTGCGCGATGGGCAGACCAAGGTCATGAAGTTCGAGCTGGCCAAGGCCTCATCAATACCCGTCAACCAGATCTCCAACACATCTGGTGAGAGCCGTCCCCTCCCATCTCTCTTGAAACGTCGAGTCTCAGTCTGCCCCAGCTCCCGCAGTGTAAACGCACAATCAAGCAGCTTGCATGGCAGTCATTGTGTCACGACTGCGATAGTGCAGCGCTATTATATAACACACGTCCCCCTGTTTCTACCTGGGCCCCCCCCCCCCCCCCGTGTCCTCGTGTGCAGGTTCTCACCTGCGCGTCATCACCGACAAGCTGGACTTGCTGTTGAGCGGCAAGGCCGTCGTGTCGGGCACGCGCTCCACCAACGTGTCGGACCACCCGCAGGGCCTGCTCTATGTCCTGCACCGGGTGACTGAGAGGCTTGTGGTACGTCGACATGCCCCCTCGCAAAGCCCCGCCTCTTGCCTCGCATTCAAATGCATTTCACATCCACGCACCTCCACGTTACCACCGTCGTCATCGCCGTCATCCACCGACATCTGCTTCTCACCTTTGCCTTGTGGTCGCTGCTAGGATCAATTGACTTGAATGTGTTTTCATTTATTCTCACGGTTCATTCATCGATGCTTCTTATACCAGAAAGCCACAATTCGTCTCATTAATGCTTTTTTTCAATGGGGTTCCTCTTGCAAAATGTTGCACGTTTAATTGGGAAAGCTAAATGAGAAAGATTATTTATCACAAACTAAATAAGTGCAGCAAATTGGTTTTCTTCGGTTGTTCCGGTTTTTTCACCTCACCCTCACTCCCCCTGCGTCTCTGCCACTACAGAAGCAGAGCGAGGAGGAGGTGGGGTGGAACCACGCGGCGGCGTTCCCCATCGCGGCTGTCACCGTGGAACTGTGGCACCGGCACCCAGCCATCGGGGAGCTCCTGCTCGCTCACCTGCTGAGCAAGTGCCCCTACTTGGGCCCTTTCTTCCCTCGTCCCACGCCTGGGCAGAGCCAGGAGGACGCTTTCAGGTGAGGGCACTGGGGACATGGGGTGGGGGGTGGTGGGTGGGGGGTGAGGGCTATGGGTGCACATGGCGTGTGCGTGACGCCCGTGTCTCCCCCCATCACCCGCAGGATCCTCGGTTACCGCTTCGAGGATGGGACACTAGAGGACGAAGACTTGTTCCTCCAGAGAATGTCGGGCATGGCGCGCCTGTACGCGGCCATCGTCTCTGCACCCGTGTCTCCCTCCAGTGGCGACAAGGTAGCCTCACCTTGCTCCAAGAATCAGACCTCACTCTCTTCGTCACGTACAGTTTGGTTCGCTCTGCTAGTCTACGTGTGACATTGTATGCATGCGATTTGCTTAAATCATAAGCCATTGGCTCCGTGTAGCGCAAGTACGAGAATGGAATTTTAAATTGACGAATCCCTCCCACCCCTACCCCACGCGCGTTGTGTGCGTGATTCGCAGAGCCACCCCCACGGCGTGAGTCACGGCTGGTCCTGGCTCACGCGGGTCCTGGATATGGAGCCCATGGCCAATGTCACCCCCACCGTGCTCTTCCGCTTTCTGGAGGTACGCAGGAGAGCACGCACGAGAGCACACTCGCATGAGCACACAGCTCGCTCACACAGCGCACGCACGAACACACGGCGCACACACACGAGCACACGCACGAGCACACAGCGCACAAGCGTTGTGATAGAGACGAGGCTGCCCTGTGACTTGTTGACGTGCTCCTGGCGTGTGTGAGCAGGTGGCAGGCAGTGCCATGGAGGTTGCATACGGCGATCAGCTCTGGGAGCTGCTCGATGTGTTAAGGAAAGAATACATCCCAAGGTACCTCTCACCCAGTGGCAGAACCTAGTCACCATCTCACCTTCACAGAGCCATTTATATTTGCACGTGTTCCTTGCATTTACGCCTGAAGTCGCGATTTTCTTTCTGTTTTTATGTTGTGGCAATAGACTGAATCACCTCGTCAAGTCGCCAGCTAATATCAAAGTAGCATTGCACTTGGACAAAGAGAAGGGTCCTTACACAGCCGTAACTTTCCCCTGCGGATCATAAACTCTGGCTCTTGGAAGACTCTTCACCAGCCCAGTTTTGCACCCACAGCAATTGGCAGGGAGGCAGTAGCGATGTGATCGACGTGACTGAAGTCAGCTGTCGACAGCAGGCTCCCGTGACAGTGTGTCTCTGAACGAGCTTCAAGCTGTGGTTGGTGATGCTCACCGGTTATGGACTGGAGCCGGGAGTTTGTAAGAATCGATGGATGTGCAACTAAACTCGCTGCGTCTGTTCTTGTCCTGCAGAATCGAGAAGGTGTCCATCCCGCAGCAGATGGGAGCTGTGGTCAGACTGAGGCTGTTCCTCGAGGTACCGGCTTTGACGACACAACTTTGACACATGCATATTTATTCCAGTGTCGTTGTCAAGACTCGCACAGCAATATGTGTAACATTACCTTAAGTCATAACAGCTGCGGAAGTTGACATCACGTAATGATATCTGAAGTCACTCAGGAGCTCCCTTTATCCATACTCGCAGCAATAGCCATCTTATCCTGAGTGGGCACATTGCGAGTTGGTCAGGAGACGTCAGTACAGCAGCGGATTTAACTTAACTATGCGGAGCTGTGTTTATCCAAATATGTTATGGGTTTTCTCCGGAGACTCTGGATTCTTCCCAATCGACAAACTTGCCTTCACGGAATTCGCCAAACATCCCAAAACAGGGCCATCCTGAAGTAGTGTTAACACTCAATGTGGCCGAAGTTACATTCATTCGGGGCATAGTTAGTACCATGTGTGTGGGTGTAATTATTGTCAAAGAATTTGTAAGTACATGTCAATCACATGAATGTTAGAGTTCGAAAATCCAAATTAGATGAAAACCTGAGTTGAACAAAGGTATTTTTCTTTGTGAAGTTATCTGTGACCAGGATAATACCTTTAACTCGCTACACTTGAGACTCCGGTTTAATCACAGGTGGCTGAAACCTCAATTCAAACCCAGGATCTGAGTGGTGCTGGCTTTGCACTCAAACACATAATTAGCCCCATATCCACTTAGTCACTTAATGCAATTTTTTCCGTGTCGGGAAGTTGGGAAACACTTCCCAGAAATAAATTAGTAATTCTCCTTTCATCGTGGCATGCGTACACACAAAGGGAGGGTTAATCGTTAATTGCCTGAATCACCAGGTCTCCCCTTCACACGGGGTTTCGAGTACATCATCAGGGATGTGTGCCAGTCCTACCCCAGGCTTGTGTATAACTCACAAATGACATCATTCCCAACCGCATTACACCAGGGATAGTGGGTGAGGTCATTACAATCATCGACCTCACACCTGAATGGGAGGAGCAGGAGGATGGGTGAAAGGTGATTGGCCAGGAGGGTTGAAGGGGAAAGGCAGGGAAGGGTTGAGGGAAGAGCTCGATGGTGGATCGGGACATTTGCCAGGCAACTCTTCACGCGTGTGCCGGACTGATCAATAAACACACAAATAGAACAACCACGCACGCGTCTAGAACTTCTCTACAAGTTCGGTTTGGGCTGAAAAAGCCTCTGACCGGCGTGCATTGCTTCCTGCACAAGAATCATCAGCTACATTAAAATAACTTTGTAAAATATTCACGTTAACAGCACTCAAGAGACCAGAGCCGAGGCATTCTATTGGCACGCTGCCACTGGTTGGCCCTTCAAACCCCACGTGGGGCTGCTGGGCTGCCAGGAGTGTCCACATTAATCCCTGTGTGTGTGTGTTGTGTTTGCCTGCAGGACTGTTTTGTTAATCGGGAGATTCCTTTGCCAAGCGGGCATCTCTCAGAAGAATTTCGGAAGGCTTAACAAGATCACCTGTACATTATGTAAATATATATTTTTTATGTAAGTAAAACCCTACGTGTTCAACTGTCAATTATTTATTCGTAAATGAAATAAAAATCCTGAAATTGTTACATTTTGTCATGGTTGCTTGTGTAATGTAGGAATTTGGGCGGGAGACGACTTGACGGGTAGCACACTTTTATTAACACCAACTCACTAACACGTGTGACCAACTGCAGCCTATGCTACGCGGTTCCCCCGGCTACACACACACGGGCTCTTACGCCCCGTAGCTTCTAGGGAACCCACCCCAACTGGGGTCTGGGTCTCGACCACTGGGTCCCACAGCCTCGCCCTTACAAGGACGTCAGGCCGCGGGTCCCACGGTCTCGCCTCTGAGCCGCACAGGGTCCCAGCCCTTACAAGGACAGCGGGACTAGGGGTCTCAGGGCCCTGTCTCTTCCAACTCCGTCTTCGATCTTCACTGGTTAACAACTCCCCGAGCGCTCCCGCGCATCCCCCTTTATAGTGCTCCGCTCCCGGGGAGACGGAGCCCATGCGGACCTCGATTAGAGCACCCACCCCAGTTGACCAATCAACACGCGCTGCCACACGATCCTTTTTCCCATCTTGTGTCAGTGCACACAACCACTCACCACGCGCCGGCACATGATCCATCACTGTCAGCGCGCGTCACCACTATACCACGCGATGTAGCCACACCCGACGCGCTCACACACGCTCCCCCCTTGTCAGCGCGTACCGCCACTACACTTGTATGCAATATCTACAATGGTTTGTGTTCCTGGTGTGTAAACAGAAAAAACTAACTGCAAAACACGCACAAATAATCACGAAGATGAATAGCAAAACAAAAACTCACTGGGCATGACGCACCAACCGGGCCTTGATATGGGAAAAGGCAGCGGCAATAACCACGATGTGTTCATTGCCCTTTGCTGAAGGCTACCGAATGTTTGCAAGGCTCAACCAGGACACACAGTGAGTTGGTCGCCCCTCTATCTGTCCCCCTCCTACTTTACATAGCCATGCCTACACTGCCAACTGTTAATATACTCTGCCCACTGATCATAGGCCTTACTAGTCCATCTATCAGCAACGCCGGAGGACCCAGAGAAAAATCCGGGCTTCCACGGCGTTGGGGGGCGCAACCGTCGGAGTGGCAAAGCCTGCCCGATAATAATCCTATACGATGCAACTCTCTTTGTCCCGCGTTGAAATAATCGTGTCAGCTGCGTTGCAAAAACGAGACTAACGCGACGAGGCGAAGTGGATGTGGCCGAAATGACTCCCAACGATTGGTGGGAAATGGTGCACCGCGTGCATCATCACCACCATCACCACCACCGCAATCACCACCACCATCACCACCGCCATCACCACAGTCATCACCATCACCACCACCATCATCATCACCATCATCACCATCACCACCACCATCATCACCATCATCGCCACCATCATCATCGCCACCATCATCATCGCCACCACCATCGTCGCCACCACCATCATCACCATCATCGCCACCATCACTCTACCACAACCGTTCTCATCAAACAGAAGTGGAGGGGGGGGGGGTGAGGGGGGGTAGGGGGTGTGGGGGGGGGGCTCGGCTCTCCCAGGAGGCCGTCAGAGCTGCCTCTTCAATAACGAGGTCGATCCTGGGGGGAAACCCTGGGACAGGTGGCAACCCGAAGCAGACAGTCCCTGCGTGCGTTCACCTCGCCACCTCCGCACGCCGAGAGATTCGGGCGAAGGTTGCGGATTCTGGGACTCTGGAGTCGAGATTTATCATCTCAGGGAGGGAGGGGGGGTGAGAGTCTGCCTCGTTCGTGCCGTCTCGGTTGCGTCGTTTTGTCCGATTGTTCGTGTCGTTTGTTCCGTCTGCGTTGGTGGTGTCGGTGTCGTTCCGTCTGCGTTGGTGGTGTCGGTGTCGTTCCGTCTGCGTTGGCGGTGTCGTTCCGTCTCGTGATTCCCGAGCCGACTGTCCAGCAACTCTGTTCGTTGCGGGTGCCTCCGCGTGCCGGGTTAAAAGTAATAAGAAGAATCGACACTCGTTCGCGGGCGTGAACATACTCTATGCAACATACCTGGAGCCAAAAACTAATCAATGTAAATAATCGATAATTAATCGATGAATAATCGTTACCCCCGTTTTCTCCGGAGTATAAGACACGATCCGGGAAGTAAGACACCACTCCAGATGTCTTCCCGGTATAAATAAAGTTAACACCGTACACAGCTACCGGAGTATAAGACGCACTCCCAAACTTTTGCTTTAACGTAGAGTGACGGGGGGGGGGGCAGGGGGGGGGGTTATTGAGTGCGTCTGACAATCCCGAGATTATTCTCAATGTCTATCCCTGGGCTGTTGGGGGGGGGCTAGGAAGGGGGGGGGGCTAGGAAGGGGGGGGGGCTAGGAAGGGGGGGGGGGGTGATGCTGTGAAGGAGCGAGGTGGAGACGTGTGCACCACACACACGCGTCCCGTGTATTTGTACATATCGCAGCGAGACGAGGTGCTGTTGATGACGACGGGAACAATCGAGCATTGCAAGGAACTAAAAGAGGATGTGGGGATGATTGATGACCTTGGGTGGTGGCCTCGGTTACTTTCACCAGTGATGGTGGGTGGGCGAGTGGGTGGGCGAGTGTGTGGACGGGTGGGTGAGCGGGTGGGCGAGCGAGTGGGTGGGCGAGTGTGTGAGTGAGTGGGTGGGTGGGCGAGTGGGTGGGCGAGTGGGTGAGTGTGCAGGCGAGTGTGTGGGTGGGCGAGTGGGCGGCCGAGTGGGTGAGAGAGCGGGTGGGCGAGCGGGTGGGCGAGCGGGTGGGCTAGCGAGTGGGTGGGCGAGTGGGTGAGTCTGCGGGTCAGTGGGTGAGTGTGTGAGCGAGTTGGGCGGGCGAGTGGGTGAGTGTGCAGTCGAGTGGGTGAGCGAGTGGGCGAGTGTGTGGGCAAGTTGGGCGGGCGAGTGGGTGAGTGTGTGGGTGAGTTGGGCGGGCGAGTGGGTGGGCGAGTGGGTGAGTCTGCGGGCGAGTGGGTGAGTGTGTGGGTGAGTTGGGTGGGCAAGTGGGTGTAAAGGCGAGTGGGTGAGCGAGTGGGTGAGTCTGCGGGCGAGTGGGTGAGTGTGCGGGTGAGTTGGGTGGGCAAGTGGGTGAGTGTGCGGGCGAGTGGGTGAGCGAGTGGCCAAATAGGGAGCGGTGAGTGGTAGCGGTTAGCTCCGCACTGCGCCACGAACCCTGGCGACCTGATGTTCGACTCCCGCTCACGACCAACATCGGCGATGATTATCTGAACACATCCTGGGCCTCCCCTAGGTCGACTCGGCCTCAAGTACGTACATGGTGCGGTGTCAGCATCGCTACTGGGGGAGACAAAGGCGGTCGGGCGTGGACCGAGTGGACGGGATAAAGAGACATCACGTGGTTGAATATTATCCATAATACACGGACTCCTCTACTCACGAATATATGCGAATTACGAACTTTCAGGGATACGAACAAACCTGTCCATGTCCAGTTGCCTGTTCGGACCGAGAGTTGTAAGTTCAACAGCCGTGCAAAATATGACGGTGGTGGCATCTGCATCTGCAGAACGTGAAGAAGCAGTGACATCTGCAGAATGTGAAGACCCAGTGGCATCTACATCTGCAGCACGTGAAGAACCAGTGGCATCTACATCTGCAGAACGTGAAGAACCAGTGGCATCTACATTTGTAGAACGATAAGAACCAGTGGCATCTACATCTAAATGAGATTATATAACTTTTAATGCCATTCCCGGGTTAAGTGTGCACGCCATACAACACGTTTGAAATCTACAGGCGTAAAGTTGGACTTACGAACGAATCGACATACGAACAGACATATGGAACCCAACTAGTTCACAAGTAGAGGAGTCTCTGTAGATTTTGTTGGGTTAGAGCGTGTGAATATAAATGTGTCGTTAAACCCGCCACCACCCGACACAGCCAATTAGTAAGGTTTGTCACGTGAATGAAACGTGGCCAATTCGTTTCCAGTACAGCACACAGCGGTTGTGTGTTGGAGAGTAAACCCACAACATTTACAATATGAGCACCGTGACGCCAGCCGGCAAAGTGAGTACCGTAGGCTTTGCACGGACCGACCAGGAGCAGAACTAAACTATTTTGTCAGTGTTATTGTATACCAGGTAAGCTCTCTGGCTCTCACAAAGCAGATGGCTCGACGCAGTGGCTGCTGATATCGCGAGTCAGTGTGTTGCTGCACAAATAATACTCGAAACCCCGCGATGTTGATTCTAGAACGTGGAGGGGAGAAGCCGGAGACAAACAAATGCACGCGACCGCGGGGAGAGAGACACCGCAAACTCCAAATATACAGCAGGTTTCAAGGTGGGAATCGAACCCACGGCATCCTGCCTACCAGGCGAGGTAGTTAACATCTCCTAGCTATCGTGGCAGCGAGCGCGGGGGCACAAGGTGCCACCCCCTCCCCCCGCTGGTGGCCAAAGCTACGAGCTGGGCCCCCCCCCCCCCTTGACAACCACTATGATATTTGATTTCAACAAGGGCGTCAAATAACAACAAAAACTTGAGAACTCTGTTTACATTTTTTTATAAAAAGTATTCCATTTACGTTCCACGTTTTATTTCAATTCAGTTAAGAGCAGTAACGTAATGCTACAAAGAGGTGACTCCGACTACGGAGCTGTAGTGGCTGCATTGTGTAGATGGAGCGCCTCCTACAGCATTAAATGTTCGCGACCGTGAGCGTACGGAAGATGTGGTTAGGGCAAGAGGAGTCGCGATGTCTAATAATAGCCTCTAGGGTGCGACTGTGCGAGACAAACCAAATATTGGGGCCTCACCTTGCTGCACCCCCTGAGCTGATAATGTAGTCACTACACCACTGATAATGTAGTCACTACACCACTGGTAATGTAGTTACTACACCACTGATAATGTAGTTACTACACCGCTGATAATGTAGTTACTACACCGCTGATAATGTAGTCACTACACCACTGATAATGTAGTCA